AATTAATTAGATTAAATTAATGAATTAGGTGCCCAAATATTTTATAATAAAATAATGGGTTAAGTGGGGGCTTATAAGGGGCCATATATGTTCAATACTCTTTTGTTATTCAAATTGGCTGATTATAACTCTAAGAGAGAGAGAGGGCCGGTCATAGGGAGAGAGGGAGCTCAAAATTGGAGTTTGATCTTAAAAGCTTGGAAATCTTGAAGATTTCTCTAGATTTGACCATAGATTGGAAGAATTGAGCCTATAAGTAAGTGAATTCATGAGTTTAATGTTGTAAATTGTGAATTCAAGTTTGATTGGTGATCAAGAACAAGAGTTGTGCTTTAATTGATGAATTTGAAGTTAAAATGCACATGCATGTATAGGATCACCATGATTTTGCACAATCTAGCATATGTTAAGTTGAATATGGAAAAATGGGTGTTAAATCATACATGCAAGTATGTTTTTGTTGAGTTTCATGAGAGTGAACACCATTTGCATCATCTAGGGTGTGAATAAGGGTAATACATCACATGCATGTACAAATTATAAGAATAGGAGCTTTGAATGCATGAATGTGCATGTTGAAAATGAGTTTGGTGTTAATTGGGACATGCATATGTTTGATTTATGAAATTGAGTTCCATATTGATGTAAATGGGTGTTTGTATCATGATAGCATAAACATATTTGAAGTTTGAGCCATAAAATGTAAGTTGGATTGGTTTGAATGCCGGATTTGAGCTCAAGAACCATTCTGGAAAACCCAGAATTTTTTATGTCCGCTCGAGTAGGGGAACCGCCGCTCGAGCGGAGATTTCGAGCTCCCAGTATTTTCTGCAGACATGGTGTCCGCTCGAGTAGGGAAGTTAACACTCGAGCGGGGAGCCATGTAGAGAAGCATTCCGCTCGAGCGCTGAAGTGGACGATCGAGCGTAAATTCGATCTAACCAGTACTTTTGCAGGCCTCAAGGGTCCGCTCGAGCGAGGAAGTGCACGCTCGAGCGGGGACCCTGTTTCTGAAAATTTTGTGTGATCGTTCTGTGTTTCGTTTTCCGTTCTCTTTCACTTGCAAGCACTCTTAGGCATGCATTGAGCATTGTGATTGAGTTAAAGAGATAAGAATGAAGCCTAAAGAGGAATATGTGAATTAAAGAACGGATTGAATCGTTTGTGACCCATATGTGTTATTTGATGTGTAGGGTCAAGCTCCAGGGCAAATCATTTAATCGATCACTGTGAGTAATATCTTAACAAAGATATCTGAAATATGTTGTTGTCCAAATTGCTTACTTCTATGTAAGTTTTATAAGTTCATTGATTCGATTGGTGGACAATGTTTGTTATACTAAATGAATGGGCCGAAGGCCGTTTTGACGTGAATGAATGGGCCGAAGGTCGTTTTGACGTGAATGAATGGCCCGAAGGCCGTTTTGACGTGAATGAATGGGCCGAAGGCCGTTTTGACATAAATGAATGGGCCAAAGGCTAGTTTGACACGAATAACAGTTTGATACGAATAACAGTTTGACACGAATGATAGTTTGACACGAATGATAGTTTGTCATTTGAATGGGCCAGAGGCCAGTTTGATATGAAGGAAACGATGGGCCGAAGGCCAGTTTGTCATTTGAATGGGCCAAGGGCCAGTTCGACGAGAACGAAAGTACGAATGGGCCAAAGGCTAGTTTGACCTGAATGATACTAATGAATTAGGCCCGAGGCTGTATGATATGTTTGGAACCGCAGTTACTTAGCTTACAAATGTCTATGTATGTATGTATTAGTAGGAATATAAACTAGGCCCAAGGCCGTTTGATGTATATTGTTCCAATGTATATTCTTTATTTGATATTATTCACTGGGCTTTCGCTCACGCTCATTCATGTGTTTGTAGGCGAGCCAAGAGAGGTCCAGACCCAGCCTCAGTGAAGTCTGTATGGAACAACCAAAGTTTTGAAGAGTCAGCCCTTGCGTCTCACGCACGAGACACGTCTTCGCCTTTTTGCCTTTCTGTGTATTTTGTCATGTTGGCGAGGACTTCGGTATACGTCTGTGTATAGCTTTGTTTTGGCTGACTTAGATCTGAATGATCCTGTCTGTATAGAACTTTATGTTACTATACTTTCTGTTGTGAGTTATTAACATATGTATGTATGGAATGTTATGATGTGCATATAAGCACGGCTCTATGGACAAAGTTTTAAATTTGCTTCCGTTTGGCCCCTTTACTCTGATGAGTTTTGTCTTATTTGATTTGAGGCCGTAGGTAATCTCGTGATTACTGGCCAGTTGTGGCCTTAACCCATAGGGGCGGGTTCGGGTCGTGATAGGTTATGTGTTTACTCTTGAAGGTGGTGCTATATCATGGAAATCATCCAAACAAACTTGTAAAGCCTCTTCTACTATGGAATCTGAATTTATTGCTCTAGAAATGACAGGTAATGACGGTGAATGGGTAAGGAATTTTCTAGCTGATATTCCCTTATGGGAGAAGCCAGTCCCGTCTATCTCATTGCATTGTGATTCACAAACAGCAATAGCTCAAGCAATAAAAAAGTGTATAATGAAAGAAGAGGCACATTTGACTAGGGCACAACATTGTTAGGCAACCTATAAATAGTGGTGTAATAGCTCTTGAATTTGTGTGATCTAGCAGACCTTCTAACAAAAGAGCTAACTAGAAAAGTGGCATATGATCCATCGAGGGAGATGGGACTTAAGCCCATTGAGTGAGTCATTGGTGATGGCAACTCACCTGTGTGATTGGAGATCCCATGAAGCAGGTTCAATGGGTAAAAACAACCCACAAAGAGACTCAAGACAACACTATTATTTGATCATCCCTCTCTATGGTGAAAATAGTGCAAGTTAAGGATGAGCAAATAGCTCTTAATGAACTCATAGCTTGTAAGGTAGTGTGAAGTAGTACGCAATTGATGGGTTCATCTATGTGAGTGTAGAGGTGGGGCCACCTCCTATGAGAGTTAGGGCGCATTCTTTAGAGCACTCATGAAAATCCAGGTACAATGCATGGCTTTATGACGCCAATCTGAGAACTCGTCATAAATACTAGAGGTGTGCGTGCAGCATTGTTAGATCATCGAAAAGGTGGCATGTTCAAGACTTGAGTCACCATTCACATGTGATCTACATTCTGTAAATACTAAGTGTTAATTCAAGTCCACAAGACATCGGCATCAATGCATCTCAAGTTAAGCCCAAGAAATTTCCTTTTCTTTTATTTTTAAATTTTTGCTTCATTATTTATTTAATTTTGAATCATGTGGGGGATTGTTGGAAGTGCTTCAAAATTTTCTTCTTGTTCCTTGTCCCACATTGATTTCTTATTAGTTTTCTTGCACCTTTTATATGTAGGCCTTTGTTATTGGGTAAGGGCCAAGGATGTAAGAGAGACTATGTAAGCTATGGGCCATATGTGTGAAGCCCATAAACATATATATATATATATATATATTGTATTAGCTCACACGCGTACCCAACCAAGTCCGAGTCCAATGCACGTGCATGTATATATATATATATATTTGTTATTGATTTTCTATAAAATTCATTTCCTTTTGTAATTGACCATATTAAGAAATTAACTAACCGTTTCATAATTCAAGAGATTTGACTGATTCATAATTCAAGGGATTTGTTTGATCAAATTCTTGATTGATTCTTACCTTACCTTTAAACTTGGAAATATATGTACCTATTCCTAGTAGTTTATCAATACAGATAAAGTTCTTTCTTATTCTCCGTTTTTTCCACACAATTTCTTGGTTTCTTTGAGCTATTTTTTAGACAAGTTCAAGTCTTTCTTGGTGAGTGCACCCCATCAAGACTTCTTGTTGTATGTTGGAGAACAACTGCTAGTAGCCATTTGCACCAAGTAGGGTGAAATCGTTTCTTAAGGACAGCAGATTGACTTCTGAGCTTTGGTTCTATTCTTTCTCGATTTTTATTCTACTTTTATCTTCTCATATCTATTTCAATTTGTTAATCAAGCAGAACTTTTATATATTTTTTCAACACATATATGACATAAATTAAGAAAAGATGTACTTGTTCTCTTTGGCCCAAGTTATTTGTTATTCTCCTTGGCCCTCACTTTCTCTTTGTTTCTTTTTATAACGAGGTTTGCGTAATTATCCTATTTTTAGGAAATTTCATATTGATTGTGTATCTACTAAATAATAAGAGTTAAATACTTACATAATCCCAAGAAACAACATTTAAAAAAAAAAAAAATTGTAAAATATTATCAGATGGGCACCCCCACCCGACCACGGGGACTAGATAATTTTCTGCTTTTTTTTTTTTTTTTGGGATGCCCTTTGGCCTAATTTGAATCTTTTAAATTTTCTTTGCTAAATGATTCACACATCTGGCCTAATCAATGGCTACAACACCACCACAAAACGGAGCATTTATTGTAACACATGCATCTAACACTATCCATTTGTGAAGCATTTCCACAAATGAGGCGTTGAGGTTGTTTGATCAAAATTAGCGAACTCATATAATTTTTCCACAAATGAGGCGTTGAGGTTGTTTGATCAAAATTAGCGAACTCATATAATTTATTGGGTAAATTACAAATACACCCTCGAGTTTTGATTAAAATACGAATCACTCATGTAGTTTTGAAAATTACATTCCACCTCCTGAAGTTTCTAATTTCATAACAAATTACCCATTTCATTAATAAATCATCAAGTCAATTAACAGTTTTTAATGATATTAGAAATACGTTTCAATTAATAATTTAGGTAATTTTATCATTGTATTGGAGAACAATTATGAATTTCATTTTTTTAGTTAATTCTGTTAAATAAAAAATACTAACAAGGAAGTATTTGTAATTTTTCAAATCACAGGGGACAATCTGTACTTTAAGCAAACCTCAGGGAGTGTATTTGCAATTTATCCTAATTTATTTGAACAATATTTTTCCAAAACTCTCATAATTGAATTCAAGCTGTGCATTATTCAACAACAATAAAGAGTTCGAAAGCTATCCAAGGTTGCAAGATTGTTCTTTCTATTGTATTGCTGATTCACTTACAACCAGGAAGTACAAAAGGAAATGGCACAATAATATATATCCTAGTTATTTTGCTATGAGCTACTCAAAACCTATCACAATTCTATAAACCGTAAAAAAATGGCAGACAAAAACAAGAATAGAAATCAAAATCTGCAACTGTAATATTTCCTTTCTTTCTTTGAATATAGATCCAACTTAATAATATTTTGCTTTTGTATGATGCCTGAAACTCCGTATTAACTTTTTCACATCCCCCTTAATGGAGAAGAAGGCAAGAATAGGAGCAATCAACATTGTTGGGTAGACAGAAATGGCTTTTTTGGGATATTGATGTCTTCCCATAAAGAGTTCCTTGGCGAGGCCCCAGAGCACAAGCAATGTCCCGACAAAGCTCATTCTTCCCGGCCTTAGATAACCGAGTAGAGCTCCTGCTACAGAGAGGTAGCTTCCCACTATAACCTGTTGTGTGCCAAAGGAAGTGCTGGATAAGAAAAAAACCATACTTTTCCAAACTGTAGCATTCTATTGCAGTTCTGTTACGAGGATTTTATGGAGTTCATTAATGAAGTCCACTTTTGAAATTTTTTAGTTGTCCATATATATTTTGTGTCTCTAGATCTGTCACCGGGTTCTATGTTTGTAGATTTATTCATTCTGTGGGAATTGAGAGTAGTCCTATGTCATTTTCTTTTTGAAGCTTAATTGCATTGTGTCATGTCCTTTTGTTCTAGCTAGATGAGAATTAGGAGCTTTAAATGTTTTCAATTTTTTATTTTCATTTTAATACAACTTTTTATTTATATATTTTTTGAAGTTTGCCAAAAATGCATTAAAGCTTGGTTAAGAAATCCTATTCAAAATAGTTGAATATTGGGAAAAACTAGTCTGTGAAGCAAATTTCTCTCAGAGTTTTATTTTTATTTTTTTAAACCAAGAAATAGAAAAGAGGAAGTTTTAAAAGAGGCAATCCAAGCATACACTACAACGTGTAAGGGTTTTAGGGAGCAAATTTTATCATCCCCTAGAATGAAATTTTTGTTACAAAAAATATTAAGAGACCAATTACAATCGTGGAACTAAAAAAAATAAAAATAAAAATAAAAATCAAAGAAGATTTTTAACAACAAAACTTGGAAAAGGTTGCTAATAAATGAACTTTTAGGGACAAAATAATTTCGTGCCAAAAGGTTTACTTTTTTAGACAAAGTTTTTGGTCTCAAAGGATAGTAATTCATTATAAATGTCCAACTCCATCGATAAAAATACAATAACGACAATTTTGATCACTAAGATATTTTGTCCCTAAATTTTTGTCTCCAAAAGTTTAATTTATTGCAGTGATACAAACCTCGATGCGGTGAATATCATTTGTGTCATCAAAACGCTTCAAGTTGTTAAAGTTAGGATAGGCATTAAGTAGGTTGTTGAAGTTCGGGATACTCTTGTTCTTGAGGAAAGCATCTGCAACAGCTCCAGGATACAAAAGAATCTTCACTACAACAGCAGGCAAGACTTCAGTAGCGATCAAGTGACACGATGCGACCTCTAATGGTGTTGTGCATATACCACCTCTACAGGGCACCCTAAGAAGAAGAAGGAAAAAAAAAAAACACAATATGTAAGCTCTTTAAGAAGTATATCACTTTAGGCTTTATCTTGGTATTTGAGTGATTAAATGAAAATCAAAGATGGCAAGTTGAAAAAGGTGGTACTAGTAGGGATTAGTTCCAAGAACAATATGGAGGCTCCTTAGATGATTTGCAGCAAAATTCTTCACTTTTCTTTGACAGCAAAGCATTTTAATGAGTTTTTGGCAATGCTGCATTCTGATAAACTTGGTTGTCATAATTTAGACATTGGCATGGAATGCCAGACTTGCATTTTGAAAGGTTAACATTCAAGAACACAAATGCGTGTTTGTTGAAGTTTATTTTAACCAGTAAGTTGATAATCTATAAGTAGAAGCTAAAAAGATTCATTCTTAACTTTTGAATAATCATTTTTTTAAGTAGTTTATTTAAGATAATTTAGAGTCATAATTCGTAAGGTGTAAGCAGTGACTGTATCAAACAGGTTGACACTAAAAAAAGAAAAAACTATAAGCACCCCCTAAAAGCTGCAACAAACAAGCAAAAGGATTTATATGTTGAGGCTTCTTATTGCCGAACACAATAATCATCATTGGACTTTTAGATTTAACAATCTAAAATCTTTTTTTATACATACATATATATATATATATATATAACAAGAAACCCTGACCCCACCTTCAATTAGCCCAATGTAAAACCCCACATATGTGTGACCACATGTTAATTTACATATCGAGCGAAGTAGAAAGAGACTTGAACCTAAGACCTTCCAATTATTATCATTCAAGCTAGCTCTCACTAGTAATCTAACTTATTAATGTTGTTATTAATGCACTAGCAAAGGGCTAGATGCTGAGCTTAATAATTCTCTGCTATTCTTTTTGGAAGTTCATTTTAGCCATTAAATGCAGGTAGTCCATAAACTGTACATGGTTTGAACAGTAAGGTCAAAGGTGAGACAACGGAGAGTGAATCAATTAGAGAAACAAGAAGACGAAATCATTTCATATACAAGGCAAAGACCAAAACTTGAAAATGACAATTTATCAAATCAGCATGGTTAAAATGATATGAAATCAAAAGATCAAAAGTTGCAAATAGAAAATGTTGAAAGCGCTACCAATTTCGTAGATCCAATTTCTAGGTTTGCCAAACATGCCCTTTTTTACTTTCTGTTTTCGTATTCTACACATGCCTTTAATTTGAAAGAAATCAATGAATCCTATTACAGCAACAGTTGAAAGGTAATTTGTACATAAAAATTTAATAAACCCCAATACCTGTAAGTGAAACTGCATATATACAAATTTGAGTTTCTCTATAACTACTTGTTACTTGCTAAGTTGAATTTTACAACTCTACCAAATGTGGTAGTATATTAAGAAGGGCCTTACTAACAAGAGTCTGGGCGCGCGCACACACACAAAAAGAACAAGTCACTTGTCATAAATTTTGAAATAATTTCCACATATTTCAAAATTCCTTTTAACATTTTCACTTATTTCAGAATGCTTCTCATCACAATTCTCATACTAAATAATGTCACTAGACATTTGCCTATTAAGAAACAAGATAACTCATAGTTCTCTCTTTTGTAACAAAATTCATAGTTCAAAAACATGAAATTAGGAAAATTATTCTTCACTAATATTTGTTTCTTTTTCCCTTTTGATACTTTATTTATTTATTTTTCCTTTCTGGCAAGTGGGCATTTTGGCACTAGATTTTTAATCTTATTTATCTTCTTATTCTCAGTTGTTGGACCAACACAGCAATTAAGATGGAACAAACAAATAATCATATGGGAAAGACTGTACCATATACACCTTATGATTACAGAAAAAAATGATATAATTCTATACTTTCTGGGCATGTTTGATTGGAAGGATTAAAACATAGGATTGGGATTATTAATCCGTGGGCCCAATCATCCTATGTTTGTTTTGACATTTTGGTTTAGGATTATTAATCCAATGGATAATTAATCCAACAAATTTGTAGGATTATTAGTAATGGGGTAGGGGTGGGATAACTAATACCACACTAATTTAATAGGATTATTAATACCTCACTATTAGTGTTGTGAATCAAACATGGCCTCTAAGTCATAACTAAAAAAAAAATTCATAGCCAAACACAAAAAATCATAACCAAATATCGCAAAGTAATGTCATAACTAAAAAAGAAAATGGCATAACTAAGAATGCATATAGTATGACATGTGTAGAATATAATTCTCCTAATCATAGACATATGCATATCACTTTATATATACGGCCATATACACATAATTAATTGCATTAATTTTTTTATTTATTTATTTTTAGTTAATGAACGATGAAACCCAGATCCAAGGGAAAATACCAATCATAATTTACATTCTGAAAATACAATGTAGCATAAATTGAAGTTTTGTAGTGTCAACAAGGTAACGTTAATTGAATGAAATTAAGATACAAATAAGAAAATGAATAACTGGGGGGGAAATACCTGAAAAGAGGAAATTGTAAAAGAATGAGAAAGAAATAGGCGCGACTGGCTATGTATGATATGAAGCCTGCCCATTTCTTCGCTGAATAAGCCATGCACGCCCTCTCTCGTTTCTTCAAAATGGACTTTTGATGGGTTCCACAACCGAAAGGTGGAGAGAGGAGGGAGGAGAGGCCAATACGATTTACCCTTTTGACATGTGTATGCATAAGGTTTTTCAATCCAATGTGATTTCATTGGGGTGAGTTGGAATTAAAATAGTTAAAATGATAAAATATATTTTTTATTTTAATAAGATAAAATATTATATTTAAATTGTAATTATTTTATTTTTTCTCTTATAAAGTCAAAAAATTTTAAAATACATCTCAAATAAGACTTTAATTTTAAGTTAAAATAATTAAAAAGTTAAAAAAATCAAAAAATTAACTCATATCTCAAATAAACTCACAATCAATAAAAATCAAACACCACATATAATTTTCTCATTTTTGTTAATATTCTTTTTCCTTTTAGGATGTAGGATTGGCTCAATCAATAAAAATCAAACACCACATATAATTTTCTCATTTTTTTTAATATTCTTTTTTCCTTTTAGGATTTAGGATTGGACTAATTATGGGAGGATTTAACGAGCTTGGGTCACTATAGATCTCCTTTTGGTAATTCATATTATTTATTTTGTAAAATTTCTATGTATATCATTGATAATTGTAACATTTTCATTTTCAATAATGACTTGGATCCCTTTTTTTTCCCACCCCCTTGACCCCCCCTCTTCACTTGATTGGAAAGGATCTCAGTCATCACCCTTTTATTTTATAAAATAAAAATGTTATAATCGGCCTAATTTTTTTTATGCATAATATACAATGTGAGTCTTACAAATTGAACAGTTTAGATCATCAAAACAGAACTTATGGTAACCCTTCTATGAAGTTCAAATATTTGAATTAAGAGAATCTAATTATTTTTTCAACCAATTATCTCCTAGGGTCTGTTTCCATTACGTGGGGGCGGACAGTTCATTAGGGGTGCAACTTGAGCGGGCTCAACCCGAGCAACCTGAACGCAGTCTGAATTTTTTTAGAGCTTGGACAAGATATTTTCAAATTCAGTACAGCCGTGAGCAAAAATTCAAAAGCCCGAATTAAATTTGGGCGGGCTTGGGCGAAAATGACGAATAACCCGAGCAACCCAAAGTCCGAATTATACATATATAGATATATAAAAATATTAAATATACATATAAATTATTAGTCATTACATGATATTAAAGTAATTTAGATTATTAAATCATATTGAATATATATTATATATACAAATAACATAAAATCATACTCTCTTTTTTTTCACTCATAAATTGTAAGAACTACTATAGCGGCATTTCTTTTACATTATATAAATTATTTGTTTTGATGGTATTAATGATTTTTTATATTAAAAAAATGTAAATAGAGTCAAATTTTAATAATTTAATAAAGCAGCTGCACAAAAACAAAAAATAAAAAAAAAATCATTTACAATTTGGGCAATTCGGGTTTAACTCGGGTCGTGCTTGGACAAGCAACCTCGGGTTACAATTCGGGCCTGGATAGGTCTCAACACATCTTAGACTGGGCTTGAACAACCTCCCAACCCGACTGAACGCGTCCAAGTTGCACCCCTACACCTAATGGACAAGTGAATAGATTGGTAGATAAATAGAGATAATATAGTCTTTTAAATTATTGTTATTCTTTGAGACAAAAAAATAATAAAATTTGAAGAAATTGCTCTAAAAATTTCAAATTTGAATTTCTAACCCAAGTGCCCTACCTTATGTGTATTCATGTATTTTCAATTCAATGAATGAAAGACAAATTGCAATAGCAACATTGTAATGTAGAGGTTAAAAATCATGGGAAATGCACGAATTAGTGGTGAGACCTTAAAAAAAAAAAAAAATTATGAAAAAAGTTATTGTTTTAATTATTAAAATTGATAAATTTTATCACTAATTTATAATTTATTTTAAAATTTTACACTGAATTACAATTTTCCCAAAAAGCGTCCACGTTTACATTATTATTATTTTTCTTGTCGGCTCTCTCTTTCCTCCCTCACCGATCTACATTTTTGTCACTATTACATTCAACAATTTTCACAAAAAAAAAAAAAAAAAGAAGAAGAAGAAATAGTGAGGCTGACTTTTCTCTTTTTCCAACCATCTTTTTTACTGTGTAAAAAAAATGTAAAGTTTACAATTTTTTCTGTTGAATGATTAAATTAAAAAATGTGAATATTCACACATTTTATTGGATATTTTTATAATTTCAATGCAAAAAAGTGTAAATGTTCATACTTTTTATGTTGAATGATTTAAAAATGAGATATTTACATACAAGTCTCATTTTGTGAACTTTTACTCTTTTAAATGTTAAATAAGATTTTTTACTCCTTCAAATCCCATTAACTTTTAATAGACAAAATTATCCTTCAAATAATGGTTGTTCATCATTTGTAATTGTTTATAATAAAAAAAAGTATGATTAGAATAATCTAAATAAGTGTACTTTTTGATATTTTATAAAAAAAATGTCAGAAAAGTAGAGAGGTATTGTGATCCAAAAAAAATAAAAAGATTAAAAAAAAAATGTGCTTATAACGCACACCTCAAATAATATTTTGAATTTTCAAAATTTCAAAAGATCATAATTTGTACAATATGTATTTATTTTTGATAAAAAATTTATATTTCTAGAATCAATACAACGAAATCTATCAAACAAGACTAATATTAAATATAAGATTATATAAAAATAAAAGTATATTTTTTCAATATTTACAATTTAAATAATTTTTAATAGTAAGTTTTCTTAACTTACTTAACTAACAATATTTGCTTGGTCTAATTTTTTCTTATAAAATATATGGAGTTGGTTAGGTTAATTAAGAGAAAAATTCATACAAAATTGAAAGGGAAAAAAAAAAATCATACTTAAAATCAGGAAGTTACACTAAAACTATAATTTTCATCCAAAAATTAAAAAATTTGATTGTAACTATGAAATTTATCTAAAATATATGATTCATAATATTTGGAAAATATTTCAATTTGAAGAAATTGAAAAATAAGTCAATTTATAACTTTCTTAATTTCGAACCATAAATTAAAATCTTAAACAAATAAAGTATCTCTTTCACACACAAACATACATAAATAAATTGAAAAATATCTCAATTATGGAATAAGGAAAACTGAGGCTGTGTTTGGTAAAGCTTTCCAATCACAATTCCACCTCTTAATGTGAACAAAGCATTTGGATGGGGTTTTCAAAAATTAATTCCATCACACATTTCAAAACACATTTCTGTTTCACGTTTGGCAGAGCTCTTTCCAAAACAAACTTCCAAGCCAAAGCTCTCACCTTTTCGTACAGTTTTTGAATTTTTGAGTCTACCTGGTCGTTCTCCCTGGACATCCTCTCGAATGTCTGGCCGGTTGACTGCTATAGTGATTTTTTTTTCTTTTTTTTTGTGTGTGTGTGTGTGTGTGGGAGGCAATTGCCAACAGAAAGCGAAGAAGAGAAGACATCAAGAAAGAAATTGGTAACTCTTTCATACATGTTGGGGTATATCTCCTTATTGGAGTGTGGGACCCAATTGGTTTGTTAAAAAAATTCTAATTTGGTTTGGTTTAGGTATAATATATTTTAATATATTATATCTAATTTTTTTGGAGACCTAATTCAGTTTGGTAACAACTAAGGTTTTGATAAAATAAGCCTAAGATTTTAGATCTATATATTGCTCAGTAATATATTTGAGATATATATATTGTTTTCTTCGGTAGAGAGGGCTACAGCTGCTATTCTTGGTATTCTTTTCAAAAGGTGAGCACCCAGCATTATGATCATTGTGACAAGCATGGTTCTGCGGTTTTGATTCGGTGGTGTGGTTTCAGTTGATGTTTGGTGACACTGATTTGGATTATTATTTTGGATCTTCTTCAACTCTGATTCTGAAGATTTTGGTTTATCTATTTGATGAGGTCTTTCCTCTTGTTTATTTGTGATCATTTGGAATTCACCTAAGGGTGGTTTGTGAGACTATTCGTGTCTCGTTTGTAATCGTTTGAAAACTTATTTGGTTGATAGTGAAATCGGATTTCGATCCCATGGACGTACCTCACATTGAGGGAACCACGTAAAAATTTGTGTGTTGCTTTTGCTTTAATTTTTCCGCATTAGTCTTTATTCCCATTGATTGACTTACTTGTGGGAAATCACATATTTTTCCTAACAACTGGTATCAGAGCTTACAGTTTATTTGGGTTTATTTATTTGTGTAAATCAATGGAGGGGAATGTGGGTCGTATGTCTAGCTTCAATGGAAGCAATTGGGTAACTTGGAAAACTAAAATGGAGGACCTATTATTTTGTAAAGATTTGTATGGGCCTATTGAGGGTGATAGTGACAAACCCGAAGGTATGAAAGATGATGAATGGAAGAAGCTTAATCAAAAAGCCGTTGGTATTATCTGTCAATGGATTGATGACAGTGTGTTTCATCATATTGCTACTGAAACTTCAGCACATGATTTATGGAAAAAATTAGAAGGCCTTTATGATAGGAAATCAGCCACAAATAAAGCTTTTCTGTTTCGTAAGTTGGTTAATTTAAAATATAAAGAGGGTAGCCCTATTCTGGAACATCTGAATGAAATAAAGAGTATTGTTAACCAATTTACTTCTATGAAAATTATTTTTGATGATGAGTTACAAGCTTTGATGCTACTTAGTTCTTTGTCCGAAAGTTGGGAGACTTTGGTCGTGACAGTTAATAATTCGGCGCTCGATGGAGTTGTCACAATGGACCAAGTCACTAGTAGCATGTTGAATGAAAAAACTAGAAGAAAATTAGCGGGTTCCTCTCATTCAGAAGCATTCGTTGTGAGAGGCCGAAGCAAAACAAGGGGGAGAAGTAAGACTCCTCATGATTGTGGTCAAAGCCGTGACAAATCAAGAGATGGTTCTTTTTCAAAGAAAGACATTGAGTGCTATTATTGCCATGAGAAAGGGCACATGAAGCGAGAATGCCGAAAGCTCAAGAACAAGGAGAAAAGGTGTGACAAAAGTGTGGATAAGAAGAAAGAAGACACAATGGCAGTTACTACCGATGATCTCATGGTCGTT